GCTTGGCACCCTGCGGCCAGGGGTGGAGTGAGGACAGCGCTTCCTCCCTCCCCCGCGCCGCGCCGAGGCCGGACAGAGGCCCGGGAGGGGGTTGGGGTGCTGCGGTGCGGTGCCATCTGGGCCGGACACCTTGACGCCTCGGGAGGGGCGGGCGCGCTGGGCTGCCCCCCCCACTGCCCCTCCGGTCCCCAGGTGGTGGCGGCCGGCCCCTCCCCCCAGGTTCTCCGCTGACCGCCAAGCAGCAGCAGCAGGCACAGGCCTCAGTTTCCCCAGCCAGGCAGTGGCTGGCTGCACTGCGGGCTCATCTCCGCTCTCGCCGGCCACCTCCACAGCCCCAGTGACACCTGCGGCCACGCCTGGGAGCAGGCACAGGCCGGGTGCTGACCTCTGAGCCTCCTCTCCCTTGCCCTCGAGTCCAGGCCTGGCCACTCAGGCCCGGGCCTCCCAGACTAGCCAGCCCGAGGACACGGGGAAGGCCCCAGGGCTCTGCAGTGGGGCGGCCCGGCTGAGGGACAGGCTGCCCGCAGCTCCTGGCACAGCCGTCCAGCCCGGGAGGGGAGATCGCTGCACCACCCTGCACCGGCGCACCCCACAGCAGCCCCTGCTCTAGCTTGGCCGGCCCCAAGTCTGCTAGAGAGGCACTGGCCAGACTGCTGGCCGCTGCCGCAATGCCACCCCTCACTGTCCACTCCGCCAGCTCCTCATCAGCCCTCACCTAGCACCCCCCCAGCATCCCCCTAGCACCTCCACCAAATATCCCCCCCAGCGCCCCCTACCAGCACCCCACCAGCCCCCCCAGCACCCCCTCTGCAACACGGCCCCCACCACCTGTGGCACCTGAGCCACCCCTACATCTACCCCGTGGACGTCGCCGCTCCCCGTGGCTGTGAGCCGGCTCTGCACCCCACACCCCTAGTCCCGCTGGACGCTCACCCGCCGGCCGCGGCAGCAAGGGGAGCAGCTCTTTTCTCTGGTGGCCGCCACTGGCCAGTAGCCCCGGGGCCGAGCTCGGGAGGATGGGGCAGGGCTGAGCGGTCGGGCCTGTGGCGCTGGCGGGAGCCCCGCCGAGGAACCGGGGCCCACGCTGGCGCCCTTGTAGGGGACACTGGGGTCTGGGCCAGGCGCACCCTCCCGCTGCACGGCACAGGCGAACTCGCCGGTGGGGGCGGCGCTCTCGCCCGCCCTCCAGAAGGGAGAGGACCGGCCCAGAGGGACAGTCTGCTAAGGGACACATGGCCCGTGGGGGGAACGGCCTGGCAGGACGCCCCTGCGACTGGACACCGAGCTCGCGCAGCCCCCAGCTTCCCCAGGCGGCTCTGGGGACACCCCTGGGATGAGCCCGCGAGCGCCCTGTGGTCAGGACAGGGTCCAGTGCGTGGGGCGCTCACGCCAAGGGAAGGCAGTGTTTCCAGGGCGGGTGACCAGGGCACATCCCGCACCTCCCAGGGCAGAGGCGCTGACCTCAGCCAGCAGGCGTGCCGCCAGCCGGGCACCAGCTAGGTCCAGCAAGGAGATCCAGGGGCTGACCCATGGGCTGGCCCCAGACTGGCCTCTGCCCGTGCTGCTGCAGCCAGCAGACTCTGAATGGATGGACGGATGGTTGGAGGAGGTGGGGCGGAGGAGGGGGAGAGAGAGGGAGGATG